ATATACTAAAATATATATTATCTAGAATATCCCTTTATAACATCATCTGAAGTTAAGTGGACACTCCTATAATTCAGGAGCTTATTTTAAAACTCCTTTCAGTGTCACTAACTTTAGAATCACATAGTTGAGATCATCAGTTGGTGGATTCTTTCTCTCCTTACCAATGCTAATCACTTCTCAACTGCTCTTGAAAATCATGTGAGTTGCAAAGGTTAACTGCAGATTTTGCCAGTGATTACTCTAAGTGCAATACTTCACAGTGCTGCAAACCAGTTTTTAAAATCATGAGGCAACAGTAGAAGAGCAAATAAACTGCACCTGAAGTTTTCTAACACATACTTCTGTTCTTTCAGTCACAAAATCAAAGTGCCCCTCTTATGTTGGGATAACAGGGATTGTTCTACAGGAATTTAAACATGTCTTCAAAATTATCACCAAAGAGGACAAATTGAAAGGTATGTAAGATAAACTTTTCAGTGTTTTTCATAACTTGGATCATAAGAAATTTCTTAAACACACTATTCTTCTTGCACCCGAGTACACTGATTTATATCAGTTCTTTTAGTTATTTGCATGGAATGGCAGAGGTCAGTGCCTTTGCTGACCACCCAACAGCCCAATCTCTTACCCAAAAGGTATCTCACTGGAAATGAGCAAACTAAAAAACTGCATTTCCAGTCAGCCCAACATGAGTGTGCACATGGCTCACTCATCTGATTCACATTAGGTGTTCCCTGCAACACCTAACTGCACGTTCCTGAAAGAGGACTAACTTAGGTAATTCCACTTAAATTTGGGGGTTTGGGTTGTCCTTCTCTTGCTAAGGCCTAAAAACCTTGAAATGTGGCAAACCTGAGTGTGAGAGTGAATAACATCCCCTGGGTACATCAGTATGTTTTATTAACGGGGATTTACCTTAGCCCACTTTGGTCAGGGTTTGGTTTTTTTCCCCCTTTTTGCATTTTCAGTTGTTCCCAAACTTAACAACGTATTTAGTGTGGAGATTGATGGATTCATTTCCTACATCTATGGAAGCAAGTTCCTGCTTAGAGCAAGTGAGCGATCTGCCAAAAAATTCAAGTTGAAGGGAACTATTGACCTATGATGCCATGGAAAGTCAGAAGGATTACTACAAATGGCTGCTGCTTTCCTGCAATTTGAAGAGCAGCTTTTCTGGCAGATGGAAGATGGAAAAGCTGTATGAAACATTTTAAAAGCATCTCTTCTTACTGAACTACGAGCAATATCTGTTGCCTTTAAGCAGTCTCAGACTGTTGGAGTTTGTTGTATCTATTTTGTTACTTGTATATAATGTTCTGGCTCTTATTAAACTTATATGATTAGTATTGATTCCCTGACTTCTGTTTCCATTTATAATTGTAAGTTTTCACCCTGAAAATGATATCTTGTTACGCTGTGATAAATGTTATCATTGCCTGCTGTATAAATTGGGCATAGCTGCCTGTTATGTGCCTGCAGTGAGGCTGCAGGTGCTGACAACTGCTCTCTCTAATCATTGTGCCTGGGCCAACATCAACATCTTTGCCTGCTGCAAGTGCATCAAGTAAGTTGTTTCAGCTGACAGGTTTTACCTTGAAAATCTCCTTCCCTGTGGTTAATATTGCTGCAGATAACAGGTATATATAATGTAAACACACTAAACATGTCATGCAGTCCTGCAAGCCCTTTGCTTCCCAGTGCTTACTAATACCCTTCTACTTTAAGGTTAAGTCTGATCTGTCTACACCAGTAAATACATATTGTCATGCCAGAGTGCAGGGAACACAGCACAGCACAGAAGAGGGAAGCACTTGAAGCTAGAAATTCAAAGATGGAAGTGACCGCCATTCAATCTTGTACTTCAATTACCCACAGAATTGCCTTATGAATATTTAACCTCTGTCCACAGAGCTGTTGTGCTTCATGTATCCTCAGCCCCTGGTTGTATTTTTTACTGTATACTTCATTATTTTTGATTGCCCAGATTACAATATCTCATTGACTAGGCAGGTTTGACATGTTTGGGAGGTGGAAGTGACCCCTGTATTTGGATCACAGAATCATACAATTTAGGGATTGGAGTGGACCTTACAGATCATCCAGTCCCAGCCCCTAAAATTAAATCCCTTGGTTTCCTCTAAGAGGTCAGAAGGAAAAACAAAGTGGTAGAAAGCATAAATCATAGCAGCAACTTTCCTTTTCAGGACAGTGACCTAGTTTTAATATTGCACATAGCATTTGGTGTAACATCTAATTAAGACATCTGTTAAATGCCTATAATATTAAATTAATAGGGGGAAGCTAATAGAACTTTAGTGTCATAGTCCAGTTAATTAACACTAAGGGCCTTTAATGGATGTCTGAAATAGACATTAATGGGAATGCCATACAAATTGGAACGAGGCACAATCACAGCTTCTTGTGCTGTGAAGGACAAAACATATTCTACCATATGGACACAGAGATGAACACACTACAACTTCCCATAGCTACTGGCATTGCCATTTTTTAAAGCAAAGAAAAAAAAAGACAACACTGCACAGCAGTCCCTGGTGATGAATAATAGCAAAGCTTTCGTTATTTACAGCGAAGAGTGCCAAAGAGATGTTCAAAGGGCTCCTCAAGGTAATCACAGGCTAGTGGCACAGAGAGACAGATGACAGATGAGGAGGAACAAGAGCTGCACAGCCCACACATTCAAGACTCCTTTACTGCAGCTGGTAAATCACCTGAAGAGGCTTCTTGCAATGACTCCACGAGGTGTTCCAAACAGCCCCCATAAATCACTCCAACTGAATCACTCCTGCAGACTGCTGGCATCACTGCCCTCCCCCAGCAAACAGAACCAACCCCGTCCCATCTGCCTTCTCCAAAACAACTCTGGGCTCACCTTTCCCTGGGACACCTTAAACTCCTCATTGCTTGTCAAGGAACTTCCTTAAGAACTGGGAAACATGGAAGTGACAGCTCACCAGTCCTCCCCTGCTCATTCATGGCCATTCCCCATCTCTTCACCAGCTGAGACAGTAAATACTTAATGGATTTAATATGAGAAAACTGGAGAGCTAATCACAGCTGTCTCTGTTGTGCTTCTTCCTTCGTATGTTCAACTCTGAATTATACTCAGCAGAGACACATTGTTGTAATGATTTGTAT